TAGCTTTGATTTATTCTACATATCCCACAGTGATGGGAATCACCTTTGGTAATTGGAATGGCAGTGCTAAGAGCAGACCTGATAAAACCTTTTTTTAAAGGGCCTGAGGAAGGGGCGACTCCTTCTCTGTGGGCTATTCATTTAGAAAGAGATGTGCTCTGTTTACTTGAGTTTGAAATTGGTAGATAGAAAATAAGAAAGAGGCCTGCTAAACTTGAGATAACTCAAGGTTTGGCTGGTAATAATTGTTGACTGTTCAATATACATATTGGCTCTACAGAGCCATTCCAGAATCTCCAAATTTATGTCCAGGAAAACTCAGTTTCTAGAGCCATATAGCCCTCTAGTGAGGCCTCAGTGACACCAGGAGGAATAATGGACAAGAAAGATCTCTCTAGAAGGCAGACAGGGATTATAAGACTGGCTAACCAGTGAACTTACTGCACTGCAAAGCTAGAATTCTATTCCTGCCCCCAGTAATCAGCAATTGCAGCTGGTTACCCATTCTCTCTGTTCCCAAACAGTGGTCTTCCTTTAGTTTCATGTATCCTATTTTTTCTCTATTGTTGTATGCTGTGGGAGATGGGATAGATAACCTGTCTTTTAAGCTTATGAGTGCTAAGCCAGGAGAGGCAGCCGTGTCTGAGCCTGTTGGGGATGACGGCATCACCAGATGTGATTAGAGGATGAGGCTTTGAGGTATGCTCCTTTGAGGAAGGAATGAACACATGCTACCCAAAATGTATAAATGGGAAGAATGGTGTAATGGATGTTGGACAGCCAAAAAGATGAACTATTCTTAATTTTCTCTACTAGAGGCAACAAAGCTAAATTATTCATAATCCTAGGTTCTTTTGCAGCTAAGGAGAAACCATATGACTCAGTGTGGGCCATTATGATGTAAACACAAGTTCCTAAGTTAGGATTCTGGGAAAGCTTTTAAAAGGACCAAATCAGTCAGAATGATCCATCAGCTTCAGATTCTTTTGTTTTTCCTAGTTAAGATGGATAGCATATCTGGGCTTTAGAAACAACATATGCAGGGGTGCCTGGGTAGCTCAATTGCTTAAGCATCTAATTTCAGCTCAGGTCATGATCTCATGGGTTCATGGGTTCAAGCCCTGCATTGGGATCCATGCGGGCAATGTGGAGCCTGCTTGGGATTTCTCTCTCTCTCTCCCTCTCTCTCTCTCTCTCTCTCTCTCTCTCTCTCTCTCTCAAAAATAAACATCCTTGATCCTTGAGGGCACCCCAATGCATTTGCTCTTCATTGCCTATCTATGGCCTTCTTATTAATAAGAAAATAAACACCTACAAGGTTAAGCTATCCTTAGATGTTTTTGTTTCTCAGCTCTTTTTACGCTTACAGAGACACATTCCTTAGCCAATGATTTTCTTCTAAATACACTGAAGTTGGCAAGAACAGTAACAGCCAATATCCTTAATCCAGGGCAATCCAGTAGCAATCCCAGGAGAAGGACTAAATATTAAAAATCCAGAATAAGAAAGAAGTTTTATTCAACTTGATTCTCCAACACCTAGCACAGTGCCTGATACTTAGCAGGTAATAAAAATGTTTGCTGATGTTATTTATTTTATTTCCCAAAAAACTGTTTTATAATGACATACCACTTAAAGCAAACATTAGAATTCATAGAAGGTTCAGTAACAAATTTGAATTTAATGAATAACAACATTCATTGAATAATTAACATTTATTGAATTCTTAGTGTAATCTAAGCACTATGCTAAATTCTTTGTGTATTTTTTTTAATTAATTCTGACAGGCATCCTTAGTTCAATAATGTTAAGTATTATTATTAGAGAGTTTCAGAGATATTTAAATTATTTAGCCAAGGCCACACATTCAGGTGGTATCAGAGCCAAAATTCAAGGCCAAGTTTATCTCTCTCCAAACCTACACTCAACCACTATGTATTACTAGAATATTCTAAATCTGCTCTCTTCAAAGGAACATTTTCTTTGATCCCTAAAAACTCTTTTTGACAGAACAGCAAGTATACAGAAAATGTTAGTTTGTGTTAATGGCTATACATTATTAATCAATTACCACTTACTGGATGATTTATTGTTTGATTCTTCTTAGTTGACAAATCAGTTGAATTTTTCATATGCACACACTGGAATAAGTTAGCTAGAGCGATTCCCTTGGACAGCTTTGTGAACACTCCAGGTTGCTACTGGGAACCTAGATTATTTGTAGCCTTTTTGCTTTAAAATCCTAGAGTCTTTAAAATGTAGCACCACAACCTGCATGGTAGGATATTGATAGGAACAAGGATGCAGGAGGCGATTCAGTAGATACTTAAATGGCAAAAAATATAGTGCAAGTTTCACACACCCTGCGGACTGCAGGTTTATATGATAATAAATTATAGTTATCACCAGGACAAAGGGGAAAAAAAAAGGCCATGAAATCCAATAGCTCAGTGAGAAATCTGCTAATACAGGTGGTCAAGCTTGTTCCATTTCATTGTCAAAGGGAGGCTATTTATTTGCTTCTGGGTAGTTAAATTACAGAGCCATTTACTGCTGAAAGTTTTCTAGTACGCAGATGTGGATCTAAGGCTCTGGGCTTTAGATTCAAAGTCTGAGAGAAAAATAGAGGAATAAGAATTTACTCCACAGACAGCATAATTGATAAGGGAGAAATCTTTCAGCAACTCCAGAAATAAAATAAGTGTTTTTAAACATTCTGATTGGAATCTCCTTACATTGAACATTGTACAGTGAACATCGGGGACAGGCTGAGGGTAAAAACGCTGGCTATAATGAATCACTTTTTAGAAGCTCTTTAAAATATATTCCCTTTGATAGCCTCCTATTTAGGTAAGAGGTCAGTGATTGGTGTACGTGTGTGTAAGAGAGAGTGAGATAGAGACAGAGATTCCTTGTGTACCAGAATGCTCAGAAACAAAGGGAAAATAGCCATGATGGCTCTTCAGTAGTTATAAAATCAATGCCAACTTTCTTTGCCTGTTGTGCAAGAGGATAGGGATTTTTATCCAACAAGTAACACCACACATACATTTATATATATTTTTCCCAGAACATTTCCAAAACTTGTTAGTCCATCAACAAAATAAATCAAAGATACTCCAATAACATTTTCTTCATAAGCATTTTTATAATGATTTTCTTGTCAGTTGCCTTTCAGTCTATCTGCCTGTCTCCAGCAACTATATTTTACCACTTGTTTCCTGGGTATTAGATTCCTTGCTTAAGTTGCCAGGTAACTTAACTCTTTGCCAAGTACCCCTTAAACCAAGACATGTATATATTTCCCTTATTAATTACAAATATTGATTTCATCCATCTTAGTTCATAAGCAAATTGGAAGCTCCAGGCACACTCTTGATGAGGAATATATTACACAGCAGAAAGAATTCAAATTCCAATTTATATATCCTTGAAAAACAACTAATGTGTTGTAAGAGGGCTATGAGTCCACCAACATAATCTATGTGGAAAGTGACCTACAACCAAAGATTAACAGATATGAGTGGTATCAGCTTACTAAAAGATATCTGAAGATGAAGAAAACCATATACCCTACCTCTGGTTATCTCAGGTTGAAACTGAAAAATATTATAAGGGGATGTTAGCAGTCATAACAAGATCATAGGAGCGAAAATTTGATGACTTGGTCTTATGGGGATGGTTAATGGTAACTACATGAATTGGCCCCATACATGAATGTGGCCCAAATGCATTAGGTCTGAATTTCATGATCTGTTAGTTTTTTTAGCTGACTTTTGAAAATCCAGAGACAAATTAATTCAATAGCAGCAATCAAAAAATTATTTAAAAATTTTAGGTGCATGTGAATAAATCCAAAATGACCATTAATTGGAAGCAAATACGTAACAAGCATCTATATGCTATAAATAATTTTCTTAAACTTTTTATTTGAAAATAATCATAGATTTACATCAAAGTGTAAAGATATTATATGGAGATCCCATTCACTCTTTACCCAGTTCCCTCCAAGTTTATCTTACGTAATTACAGCAAAATATCAAAACCAGAAAACTGACATCAATATGCGTGTATAGTTCTATGATATTTTAACATACATGTATAATATTCTTGTAATCACCACTGCAATTAGAATTCAAAACTATTTAAAATGATCGTATTTATTTTCTTGAGTATAAACATGCATTATGATTCCAGAGAGAAAGCTCCAGACTACTGTTTTACAAAACAACGAATGTGTATTGAAATTTATTAATATCTAGGAAATTGTTATCTAGTAAAGCTATACATAAAGGTCAAAGTGAAATTCTAACAATACAGACAATGTATGCTTTTTTAAAAAATGTTTATTTTTGAGAGAAAGAATGCAAGCAGGGGAGGGCAGAGAGAGAGAGGGAGACACAATCTGAAGCAGGCTCCAGGCTCTGAGCTGTGAGCACATAGCCCCATGCGGGGCTCAAACTCAGGAACCGTGAGATCATGACCAGAGCCAACTGGAGGCTCAACCAACTGAGCCGCCCAGGCACCCCCCAGACAATGTATGCTTTAACTGAACTCATTTCCTTGCATAGACCAGATAATCTCATGATTCAGCCATCAGCTGTCCCCAACATAACAGTAAATAATTTTTAGCACAGTTTAACAATGACAACTTGCTGAGAATTATACTACTCCCAAACTCTTCACTGATGAAAGCACTAGACACACACACACACACACACACACACGCTTCCTTTTTCAGGCAAAACAGAGCACTTTACAAGTGCCCTTAACGTGCTAATGAGGTCACCATAACAAAAGAGCATATTAATAAGTATACACAAAGAAACAATGAAATAAACCAGCCAGGATTTTCCAAACCAAACCTATTATAAGGCGCCTTGCCTTCCCTAACAACTAAATGTAATTCAAATCATTGCAAACTCCAGTTCTGATTCAGCTCACAGCCGTGGAGAAACAGACGATCACAAAAGAAAACAAAATCGAAACGCCAATCTTACCTTGGCCATCTGTGCCTGCACGCCATTTGCCTTGAGAGACGCTACTGCTTTCTGTGCGGCTGCAGGACTGTCAAAATCCACAAAACCGTACCCTGTGAAAGTACAACACCCCTTGTTAGTGCTGCATCTCTATCATACAGGGGGACGGTGTGTTTGTGGCCACACTTTCATTCGTAACTTCTGGAATAACCAGAAAGGCTCTCAAGCCATTGGCCTTCATATGTCAGGAGAGATACCACGATACCATTAAATGTAAAATTGTAAGTCTCTTATTTTCTGGAGATTGGGTATGCAGTCAGCCATCTGATTTGGGCTAATCAGACGAGTACGGTAATACATTATTTAACCATGACCCTCTTCAATGAATTTGCGGCAAGGACGAGGAGCACAAAATGCTGAAAACGACAGAAAAGTCTATGTCTGAAGTCAATTTTCAAAACCTCAAAAAAGCTCATGTTAATAAAAAGCCTCGATAGATCAGTTTATTCGAGTGATTACTCACAGCCTCTACAGTGCCTGGCACCCAGTAGACATTTAATATAATAAATGTATGTTGACTGTGTGAATGAATGAAGGTTGTGAATGCGAGTTACGGTCTCAACCCAGTTCCAGCTGATACATAAGCCCATGCTAACTCACCACAGAACCTTGTCTCACTTGATGACAACATCTTTTTATTTAAGTTTATTTATTTATTTTGAGAAAGAGAGAGAACAAGCAAGCGGGGGAGGGACAGAGAGAGAAAGGGAGAGAGAGAATCCCAAGCAGGCTCCACACTGTCAGCACAGAGTCTGATGTGGGGCTTGAACCCACAAACTGCAAGATCATGACCTGAGCCCAAATTAAGAGTCAGACACTTAACTGACTGAGCCACCCAGGTGCCCCTTGATGACATCTTAACTAAGACTTTTTCACTCTTAAGTGATGTGTGATTGAATAATTAAATAGTCAAGCTTCTTTTTTTTTTTTAATATTTTTTAATGTTTATTCTTTTTTTGAGAGACAGACAGAGCATGATTGGGGGAGGGCAGAGAGAGAGGGAGACACAGAATCAGAAGCAGGCTCCAGGGCTCTGAGCTGTCAGCACAGAACCCGATGTGGGGCTCGAACTCATGAACCATGAGACCATGACCTAGCCGAAGTTGGACGCTTAACCGACTGAGCCACCCAGGAGCCCGTCAAGCTTCTTTAAAAATAATTTAAACAGTGACCGGTGTCACATATTTGTTACTGAAGTATAATCTGAAAAAGGCACAGGAGTTCCCTCTACTGTTCTCTGCCCTTGTGCCTGTGTAAGTGCATATACAGAGTGAGGCCAGGGGAATAGCTAGAATCAATGAAACAGAATCAATGGAAAGGCGATTCTGTAGGACCATAAACTAGCTGATATTAGTCTGGGGCTTTAGCCTAACTGTAATGTCAGCTGCCCTAATAACATCTCAAAATTAGAAAGCTCAAGCATGAGTATGAGGGCAGCTTTACCTGGCATGTCTAACAAGCCCATCATATGTATCCTCTTCTTATCTGTCAGTCACGGATTTGCTCTGCACTCTCATGCTTGTTCCCCAGAAGTCTGGAGGTGAGCAAGCCTAGTAACCATGCTCTGGGACCCACCCCGCCATCGCCAAAGAAGAGCGCAAGGGAATTCAATTACCAAGTTGTTTCTTTTAATTAACTTTTTAATTTTCTCCCCTCGAATCCCTGCTTCTTTTTCTCCCTCCCAGCATGGTATCCTAAAATGAACTTGTTACACAGCAGTGTACCATAAAATGCTCTTGAAAAGCTGGGCAGAGAAGCTGCGAAGTTTGTGTTTCTAATCCAAAGGGAAGCCCGCTCTGTAAGTACTGCTAATTCTTCTCTTCCCACAAAATTCAAACTATGTGAGTAATAGGAGTCTTGCCACCCACCAAGATGAGTCAGATAGGGGAAAATAAAAGCAGAAAGAGAAAGGGGGAGAAAAGAACAAAATAAGTCAAGAAGTAGGGTCAGGGGAGCAGAAGGTAAAACTAAAGTGTAGATATTATCTCTTATGTATCAATGTGTCGTGCTGGGTGGTTGACATGTTGATAACTGGTGAAATGATAACTTCATGTATCACTGGCCTCGTGCCTATTCATGATACATGAAGAAACAGAGGCTCAAGCCAAACGGCACAAATACCCACTAATTTCAAGCTGCCTCATTGCCAGGTCCAGGATTTGAAGTGAAGTCGTCATAAGCCCTTCCCAAATGCACCACACAATGAACTACTTTATAACCCCACTTTGCACACTCTTTAGAGTAGCCCCTGAAGCCTACCGGGAAGAGGACACAATTCTTGAAAATTCCTTGATTTTGAAGTTAGGACACAGAACAAAGCAGTGCCACAAGTGGTTTCAATGCAGTTCATTTAGTCCATACATTTATTAATGGTTGAATTTCCAGCAGAACAGGCTAAGTGAAATTTGACAAGGCACCCCCTTCCACTACATGCTTGGGTCAGTTGTCCTTATCGATTCACATGCTCATTCTTTCATTCAATAATGAAATTCTGAGGTGCCTGGGTGGCTCAGTGGGTTGGGCATCTGACTCTTGATGTCAGCTCAGGTCATAATCTCACGGTTCATGGGGTCAAGCCCCACACTGGGCTCTGTGCTAACAGTATAGAGTCTGCTTGGGATTCTTTCTCTCTTTTCTCTCTCTGCCCCTCCCCTGTTCATAGGCTCTCTCTCTCTCTCTCTCTCTATTTATCTATGTCAAAATAAATAAATAGGTTAAAAATTTTAATTAAAAAATGAAATTCTATTTCAGGCACTTTGCCAGGTACATGAACACAGCAGTTAAAAAGAATGGCCCTACTTCTTGCCCTTGTGCATTTTTAGAGTTGAGAGATGAACAGGAAACAAATAGCCACACAAATGAATCTACAAGTACCAAACGGCAGAACTGTCTTGAAAGAAATGAAAGCATATAATACAGAATCTGACTACTGAGTGTTCATTATTGAAAGTCTTAGGGAAGCAGTGGCACAAAATGATTTGCATTTCTTAAAATATCCTGGCTGAAGACTGAGTTGTTGTGGGGAAGGTGGACAGCAAGAGTGTCATCGGGAGAAGAGTTAGGGGCTATTACAGCAACCCAGACAAATGGCGGCTGGTGATAAAATGGAGGGGATGAAATGGATGGTTTGAATTATATTTTGGAGGCAGAATTAGCAGGACTTGATGATAGCTTGGCCGGGCTGGAAGTAGGGGAGATATAGACGACAAGGATTACTACTGATTTTTTTGGCATAAGCCACTGGGTGGGTGGAGATGTGATTTACTGAAGTGGGGAGCCTGGAAGAGCATCCAACAGGGGAGAGGGAAAATTAAAATATCAGTTGAGTCAGAAATGTCTGTGAGACATCTAAGTAAAAATGTCAGAGAGCAGTTGGATATATTAGGCTAGTGCTCAGAAAAGAGGATAGGATTGGGGATATAAATTGGGAGGTCAACAGCATAAAGATGTGATTTATAGAGACGGAAAGAGACAAAAACGCCTAGTGTAAGTAGAAACCAAGGACCGAAGTTTGGAGCTTGAACAACTTCGGCATTTAGGTGTCAGGTGGGAACAAGAGATTGCAAAGGAGAATCAGAGAGGGAGAAGGGAATGAAAAGGGAAGAGGATGTCTTAAGGACAAGGGAAGAAGCCGTTCCAAGGAGAGAGAAATCAGCTGTCATGTGTCACTGACGGTGTAAGCGAGATGAGGGCTTGCAAATGTCCAGTGTGCTTAGGAACGTGGGAGTCATGATCATGATTTGCTTCAGGCAAGTGGTAGGGACTGAAGCCTGTTGGGTAGTTAAAGAGTAACAGCAAAGAGGGAGAGGGGGAGAGAGTGTTTGCAGGTCTCCTTGTTATCTTGCTAGGAAGGAGAATTAAGAGATGGTCAGCGAGAGGGTGATACAATGTCAAACGAGCTGTTTTGGTTTAAGATAGGAGATACCAAGGCTTTTAACCTTCGCTGCACACTAGAATCACCTTGAGAGATGAAAAAATATACTAGTGTCCATTTCTCACCCCCAGGAAAGTAAATCAATATCTTTGGTAATATGGCCCAGGTGTTTATATACACACACACTCACACACACACACACACACACACACACAGTGGTGCATGTGTGTACATGTATATGTGTGTTCCTCAGCTGATTTTAGTGGGAAGCCAGGGAACTACAGAGTATTCATTCAAGGCATTCAACAAATACTTATTTGTTGCACCCACTATGGGACTGTTCTTGGCAATTTCAGATCGGGATAGGAATGATCAAACAGAAAGCAAAAGATCAAAACTTCCGGAGGGCAAGAGGATAATTTATAGAATAATGTTGCTGGAAAGTGATGGAGTGAGAGAATCTAGAACATATGTGAAGTGCTGCCTTTACTAAAAGAGGGATCTTTTGGGCACCTGGGTGGCTCAGGTCCAACTCTTGGTTTCGGCTCAGGTCATGGTCTCATGGTTTGTGAGTTTGAGCCCCATGATGGGCTCTGTACTGCCAGTGCAGAGTCTGCTGGAGATCCTCTGTCTCTCTGTCTCTTTGCTCCTCCTCTGCTCACTCTTTCTCTCTCTCAAAAGAAATCAGTAAACATTAAATAAAAGAGGGATCCTTCCCTTTACTCATTGCAACTTGAAGGAAGAAATAAAAAAGATCACTCTTGGTTAATCGTTGTTACTTATTATATGTAGCCAGTCATTGGGACTGTACTTAACACATAGCGTGTGCTTCATAAATATTTGTTTAAGTGACTTAAAAGCATGTGTAAAAGATGCTAATAATTCACGGACTACAGTGGGAATTAACCAATTAAAATGTCTACTGATACATTTTGACTATAAAGGACAATATAATGCCAAGTGGTCCCAGTCTGGCTCGGCCATGCTCCCACCCAGCCAGGCAGCCGTGGTCTTCAGGACTCTGCACCTTGGTTCCAGCGTGGCTTCTCCTCTAGCTTCCTCCCCTTCTTTCCACCCCAACACATTACACACGATATGACAAAATCACAATGCTGATCTCCGGGGCTCAGCTCCAATCTAAACAGGAGAAATCTCTGTGAGGGTATGAGACACCTGAGC